CTAGTCAGTGATGCCCATATCCTGTTAATGTATTAAAAAAAGTAACACCTCACGTAAAAACTTCCCAGTTTACTATCTACCACTGATGTTGCAAAGCGAATCAAAGAGTGACTAGTTAAGTCCCCTATATTACATAATGTACTTCAACTTAAGTTTCCTTGGTTAACATATGAATTTACAATTCAAAGATTGTTTACCATGGTAATGTTCAGCTGTCTTTCTGCGTAATGTCTCCACTGTATCTTCAGAGTCTGCCCATTCCAGTACTAATCGTCGACCATACAAGTGAGTGCTGTGGCAAAGAGCATTGAAGGCTTTCTGCAGAAGAAATAGACTTTTGAATTTCTTTTTGAAATAAGAATAAAATGTATTTGTCAGTTACACTTGGCTGTCATTTGTAAAATAAGTTTTTGTGCAAATGTAAACAGCAATTAAACTATAAATTGCTATCTTTGAAGTGTTTATTTAATTCAACACATTTCTACACTAATTGGGTAACCTCCCTAAGTGCAAACCTAGCAGATAAAACAGCTGTGCTCGCAGAACTGTTTGGTATCATGATGGTTTGTATAAACAATCCTTTTCCACCATTAGAATTAAGGCACAATCTTAACAATTCAACCAGAATTATTGAAAACAAGTCTCAAATCACAAAGAAACGGCCTTAATGCAGAACTTTAATAAACAACACAAGATTAAAACAAGAACACAGGGAAGTTCATAATTGTTGTCAACAGCTGGAATTAAACTCAGGGGCTGGAATGACTAATAGGATTTAGCATTTTTCGCAGTTTATCTAGCAGTGTGGGAATCCATACTTGGAACAGTTATGCATAAAGCCTCCAATTCTGGAATCACAGAATCACTAAAAACTTATTGACCAGGAGGAGGCCATGTGGTCCATTAAAGGAGCAGTGGTGTTTTGTCTCACATGACCAATTTTTATTTGCAACTCTGAAAGCTCCTCATCCTCAAATACCTATCCAAATCACTTTTAAAATTATTTACGGAGAGCTTTCAGTACCTTTCCAGGGAGAGAATTCCAGATCCTTGTGACTCAGTGAAAAAAAGGACGATATTTTCACCAAGTTACTCTTGATAATCTTGAGAATAACTATTAGATCATCACTTATTTTTCACTGTTCCAAGGAGAATGGGGCAAGGCCTGAGATGACATCAAGCAAACACAGCCTTCCAGACTGTGTAATGTCCTTCGTCCGCACATCGGGAGGGGGGCAGGGGGGTTACGTGCCACATGTGGGAGTACCATCTCAGACTATGCAAACAAGGACCACACACACACACACACACACACACACACACAACTCATATCTTACAGACAAGGTCCCACACAACACCATCCCACTAGCAGAGGTGGTGGCAAAACAGCATACACTTGACAGAGAGTTGTCCTGGGAGCCCTCAACACCGACTGCAGACAGATTATTAGTTACCAAAGAGTTTAAAGGTTATCAGGATGCGCAGGACTGTAGAGTTGAAGTGAAAATCAGATCCTGCCAGAATCTTATTGACTGGTAGAACAGTCTCGAAGAGCCAAGTGGTCTACTTGAGGCTTTACATATGTTTGCTTCTCACAACTGTAACTAATGTTATGGATCAGAGCTGACCCTCTCAAAAGATATTAAGAAGGTAGCCTAGACCGTGAATTTTTCTTATTTCAAAGGTAAATGCGAGGTGCTGTGTTCCAGATGCAATTTGTTTGGTCGAACTATTTGACGTTAAGCAAAACACAATTTATTCAACCACTACAGTTGAAATACAACAAAAGAAAGAGGAACTTGGAACAACTTAACTCCATTGGAAAACTTAGCAAAATAATAGATTATTTTACTGCCAGATAGGAAGTCTTCCAAGACAGTTACATCCCATAAACACACCCTTGGAAAAAGGCAAATTCAGAAAAACTGATTTTCTTGCTGATAGGATTGCACTTAAGACTAAGAGATACATGCAGCAGCTTCCCACAGACAGAGAGAGTGTAGCAGCTGAGAGAGATTCACTACCTTCCAACCCTGCTGAGGCATAGCAACAACTGCTGAAAGCTAACTAAAAATACTTGATCTGTGAGAGCTTGACCATACCCACTCAGGCTGCTTCTATTGTCCCAACTTTTAAAAAAACCCAAGGCCTCACAAGTCGTTTATCTTCTCAGACTGCATAGTCCCTGTCTCCCAATCTCTCTCTAAAAGAAACCAGGACAAAACACACCTCTTAAAGCCACAATATTGTCACACCAGTTAGCTATACAAAAACTCTAACCTTAAGCAGTCTTGTTAACCCTACATTAATCTCGGGCTCTGAGTGCAGTCTTGATCCTGTATTAAATGGAGCCCTTATGATGAAATCCTGCGATACATTTGGACCCTATGATGATTTAAACGCTAATGTTCGATTTGACGATGAATTAACTATTGCATCCTCAATGTGTTAGATCATTTATTTTTGTTCTAGCTTTTTAAAAACTGACAAACTATTGTGCAAAATTTCCTAGTTGGTGAGTTGGATTTGTTTAATTGCTAACATAATCTATCCTCGTTAAGTAATGAAGATCAGTGGCAGGTAATCATCTTAGCATTCTGTAATCTGAAATATGGTGATAAATCTTCAGTCATCTTTATTAAGAGGGACTAAGGTCTAAAGTGATTGGTTACTCTTTAAATAATTTTCCTTGCAGGGTATAAATGTTTGTCAGCAATTTTGTTTTAAATGTCCAAAACAGTGCAAAATCTCCAAAGTGAAGAAGTCAACAAAATTACCTGCTTGAAACAGGACTCTCAAGTTAAGCTGCTGGAGAAATTGCTGACCATGACAGATAATGCTTAACAGTTTAAGTATGACCTCTTTGAATCCTTTTCCTTGCGCAACTGTGGCCATATTAAACCAGACTAAAAACCAAAATATGACGTTATTCTGCTCAAGAAAAGTATTCAGCTGTGCAAACTGCCTTTGACAAGCATTTTAATTAGATACTTCAGATCTCTACAATAGAGCACATCAAATTAAACTTAGATCAATTTCAAATTCACTGCAAGTGACACAATATATAACAACCTGAAATTGATTTACCTCCTAAGTCAGATATTCACAGCAAGCTCTTCTATGAGATATAGTACTGAAATTGTGCACTTATTCACAGACAATACAATGTTTTTAAAAATTAAGTAAAATGGCTCTTCAAATTTTATTTGCGTGGATCCTCCAAAACAAACAGGAAATGTTGCTTTCAGTTTGCATTAAAAGGAAGGTCTCTCTCTGTAAGTAAACAAATAACTAGAAATAATCCCAAGTACCCATCCTTTGCTGCAATGTATTTTCAAATAGCTATATTTGCCTTTACTTAATTGACTAGCTTTAAAGACAATGGAGATCTAAGCATAATGTTTTATTCACTGCTTTATTAGCACATCTTTTATTCAACATTAACCAAGATATATACATACTCTGGTTCTTAAAGCTGTTTTTCTTCTATGTATTGTGGTGAAGGCTGAATTGGGAAAGTGTGCTTCTATTAAATTTTCACATAATAGTATTAAATAATATGCAATATTGTTTATAGTTAAAAGTATTGCATAATACGAATGTAAAAATTACATATTTTGAAAAGCAAAATAAAATTTCAATAGAAAATGTTAAATCTCAAAAAAAACTCAGTGAATTATTTCAGAAGAAATCACCTGCAAACAGAGGGAAGGTGGAAAACAAATAGGCAGTTCCAATTTTCATGGGTTTAAAAGTGCTAAGAATCATATCCATGAAATGTATCTCCTGCACAACATTCATAGATATTCAAAGTGAATTGAGAGTTACACAGATTTGCCAATTGGAAACGGAGTATTTACGGAGGTTTCATCCCAAAATTTGTCACCTCTAATAACCCAAGTCATGTAACAGTTCCCCCAGCTACAATATTTTCAAGATAAATAGACAAAATTCTCAAAATGGAAGAAACAACTTCTTTAAATGCCCCTTTTATTGCTGACAGCATCGCAGATGAAAGTGACCAGGAGATTCATTTTTAAATCCTAGAAATTTCTGGATAATCCTGGAAAAAAGGTAATCCTACATGAAACAAATAGTAGAGCTAATGTGTTTTATCCTTACCCTGGGGAATGACTTTTAAACACACACAGATTGGACATGAAGAAAAAGTACCATGATTAATGATATAACGTTTACATTTAAAACAGTATCCAGCACATAACCAAGTGTCCCCTGGACAAAATTCAACAACTTTTCGTTAATCATAAATTGCATGAAAGCAAAACCACCATAGAACTGGAAATTAAGCATATTCTACATTTCAATGAGATTGCCAATCATTCTTCAAAATTTTAGCAAATATAGGTTCAACTATGTCCCTGTTAGGGTGAAGGGAAAAGCTGGCAGGATCAGGGATTCCTGGCTAGTGAGGGATATGGAGGCCCTGGTTAAGAAAAAGGCGGCAGCATACATTGGGTTTAAGCTCAAGTGAATCCCTAGAAGACTATAAAAAGCGCAGGAGCACACTTAAGAGGCAAATCAGAGGAGTAAAAAGAGGTAAGGAGAGGAATCTGGCTGATAAGGTTAAAGATAAACCCAAGAGGCTGTATAGCTTTATTAGGAGTAAGAGGAAGGCTAGGGAGAGAATAGGTCCCCTTAAAGATCAGCATGGCCATCTATGTGTGGAGATGCAGGAGATGGGAGAGATTTTAGTGAATATTTCTCCTTACTGTTTACTGAGGAGAGAATCATGGATGCCAAGGAAATAAGGGAAATAAGTGGGGATGTTTTAGACCACATACACATTACCAGAGAGGAGGTGTTTGCAGCCTTAAAGCGCATTAAGGTGGATAAATCCCCTGGGCCTGATCAAGTCCATCCTCGGATGTTGCGGGAAGCTAGGAAAGAAATTGCAGAGGCCCTTGCAGAGATGTTTGCTTCATCTTTAGCCACTGATGAAGTTCTGGAAGACTGGAGGGTGGCTAATGTTGTTCCATTGTTTAAAAAGGTAGCAAAGACAAGCCAGGGAACTACAGATCAGTGAGCCTGACATCAGTGGTAGGCAAGTTAATGGAGAAGATACCGAGGGACAGGATCAACCAACGTTTGGATAGTCAAGGTCTGATTAGGGATAGTGAGCATGTATTTGTGCGCGGGAAGTCATGTTTAACAAATTTTTCACAGTTTTTCGAAGAGGTAACCAAGAGGATACATGAGGGTAGTTGTCTATGTGGACTTTAGTAAGGCCTTTGACAAGGTCCTGCATGGCAGACTAGTCATGAAGGTTAGGTCGGATGGGATCCAGGGAGAGCTAGTTA